GTGTGTGTGTGTGTGTGTGTGTACACATTAGTGAAAACATGCACACTGCTCACAATGCATGCAGAAGTGTGGGAGTTATTGACAGAAGTCTGCCTGGACAGATAAACTGCAGTTGATTAAATGGGCTGCTGCACAATAAAGAAGTGTTAGAAGCAGAAAAAGAGAGGCAATTTCGTGTGTGTGTGTGTGTGCGTGTGTGTGTGTGTGTGGTTGCACGTGTGGAGCTCAAACACCAGATGGACAAATTCTGAAGAAGGAGGCTGCTGACCAGAGTCCCACTGAGCTCACAAGCTAACACGCCCATGCTGCGTGTCAGAAAGCCGTAGAGAACATAAACACGCTCGCAGCCATCTCTCATTTTCTTTCATCAGCTTGGAGCCAATTATTCTCTCAAAATGCTGCTGTGCAGGCAGGCTAAAAGGCAAAATCATGCACAAAGCCAAATAGCTGCAGGACCTCCTCTTGCAGCCCTATGACAAAATCTAGACCATCAAGATCAGATTACAGAACACCGGTGTCATTCCAGATGGCCACTTGCAAGATTTGGTGATTATGTTTCCTTAAAAACCTGCTGTGTCACCGAACACCGTATCCTAGCCAATTATGGCTTAGAGCGACCTGCATCATGAATAAAGGAATTAAAGCAGTAAGAACCAGTGACAGAAGCTTTGGCATAACAAAACACATCACAAATTCCAGCTAAAGGCTCATCGAGTATCCTAGACAAATACTTGCATCTTGCCATGGCCTAAAACAACAAAAGAACAACGGATCACACTGACTGTCTCATTTCCAGGTGATATCAGGTGGTTTGAAGTCATATGTTATCAGTTTGGCCCATTAGATTTAGCTTGCTGCTTCCACTTGTCAGCTCTGCAGACAGTTTGTGCCATCATCTGAGAATGAATGCAGACCATAGGCAGCACTGTTACTCACTGGTTCCTTCAAAACGAGGTTCTTGAGCATAATTTGTGCAGGGCCTTGCTTTGTGGAGTTTGCATTTTCTCCTGTGCTTTTATAGTCTTTCCCTGAGACCTTCATTTTCACAAAAGAGATTATAAGCCTTCGAAAAACATGACGGATTTGAATGTTTCTGTCCAATTTTTGGGAGCCGGAGCTGGGTCAAAGTGGAAGCAGGTTTAGCGGGGGTATTTCAGATGTCAGTTTGCCTAGCAATGCTTACAAGTTCCTCCCAGTGGACTCAAAGATGCTCCCGGGCCAGACAAGTTAAATAAACTCTCCAGCAAGTTCTGCGGTTTTCAATATTTTGAAAACTGTCCCTACTGACAACCTGAACTGTACAGGTTGTCAGTAGGGACAGTTTTCGAGGTAAAGAAGTTCAAATGGGAAACAGCAGTTGAAACAACTATTTATTTTGTTTATCATTTTAAAATAATGCAGAACAATGTGGCGGCAGACTGATGGAAAAAAACTAAACGGTGAAAGGAAATCCGTGCCGGTCTGGTGGCAGGTCCAGTCTGATCTTTAAAGGCCAGAGCTAAGAACTTGACTAACAGACGTGTCCAGTGACAGCAGAACAGAAAAGAGCAGACACTCTGACCTTTGCTCATAAAGATAAGACTGTGGAGAAAAGGAGAAAGAGATTAAAGCAAAATGACTGAGAGGCTAAGAGGCGTTACAAAGATTTACTGTGTCCACCCTGTCACAGTAACTGCAGCTAATACAATGGAGGTGAAGTGATGGTGGATGGTCTGAACACTTTGTGTCACGGCTGTCGCTTTAAATCAAAGAGATCGTTTTGGATTCTTTCTCCCCCACTACCTGATCTGACCACCTACAAAAAGAGCTAAAGGTTAATGGAGGTCAGGAGTGTGATATCACAGCCTTTACGGCCAAACAGAGGATGAAATTATGAATGTAGCCCGACGAATCGGGGCAGAGTCACGCTGCGCTGCATACATTGTTATTTTGCCAAGATCTGTTTTGGATGTTTATCCAAAAGTCAAATAAACAGTGATTAACGTTACACCTGTTTCAACTTTTCAGATAGTTTTACTGACAGTTGTCTTTTCAAGGAATACTCTTACCACACTGGCAAGTCCACCCTTGGGAACTTCCCAAAACAGTTTAACCTTTGGGCTGCTGAGCAGCTCAAGGACTCTTCAGTGATGGAAATTTGGGAGAGCCAAGTGCATTTCTTCATTCCCACCCAGATTTATCATGATGGCCTTTAGGGGTCAAATTTTAGATCACCATTACCATTTTCCCACAGACTCTTATAGACGCAGAACCTTTGGAACTAGTGGATCTGCTGGCCATTCCAGAAGAAATGATTTAAGGCACTTTGAATTTTAGAAACGAAACCTACACCTGAATTGCCAATCTTCGGTACTGAATGATAACATTTAGGCCATTTCAGTCTGGTGTCTCAACTCCACACAGAAAGCCTGAAGGCGGTGGATTTGACCCCAGAACCCGCTTGCTGTGAGGTGACAGTAGTAACCACTGCACCACTGTGAGTGTCATGCTCTAAGAACCTCCTGCAGTCCAAGACAAGCCACTTGGTGACAGCTGTAGAAGTGAACGGGAGTGCAACTGCTTGTCCGTCTCTCTGTGTTACGTCCCACACCCCCACAATCCTGAATTAGATAAGCAGTTAAGCAAATGGCTGGGTAGATGGATGGATTCTGGAGCGCATGACATACAATTCAGCACTGAATGGAGAGAAAATGAGGTGTTTTTCATAATTAGCTGCCCGAGGGCAAATGCAGTCTTTGTCTAATATTAATTATCCAACAATATTGGAAGCTGACAAGTACAACATTGGTGAATGAGTATAAACAAATTACTATTTCACCTTCAATTGTGCGCTAATACATGATCATGCAGCTACAGGAAGGCAGACTGAGTGGAACAGAACAGAGGCAATGACCAGAGGAAGAAATAAAAGGAACTGAAAGACAGACAATTAAAAAAAGTGAGACAGGAAATGGTAGAGAGAGACAGGCAGCTTAAAGGGAAAGGAAAGCAGCTGGAAAGACATGTAACAGATTGATACAAGCACCCGACCCAGAATGAGCACTGGTCATTTGCATGAGAATACCAAGTCTGGAGGGTAATTTCAGCAGCCTGATAACATGTCAGTCGGACAGAAAGTCCACCAGGAGGCCAATGAGCTCGATGCAGCACTGACAGCAGCAGGCTGAGGAATACTGCAGGTTCTCTGCAGGAGAAGCAGGAAAGATTCATCCGTATGAGATGCTACAAAAAGAGCCCATGAAGAAAGTAATACATCTTATTTTAGAGTGTAAAAATCTCAATTTGCAGAATTTGCTGAAATAGTTTCAAACTAATCAAAGTGTTCGTGGGGTTTCCGACACTTGCAGT